TGATGAAAATAAAGTTGTGCAACGTCATTTTAAGCTTGGACCTTTGGATTTTTTGTTACACAGTGATTTTCCATAACTTTGTGGCACAGTCTTCGTATTTTGCCTGAAAAAGACACAAAATAGCTTACACTGCGTTCATTTCTCCGTGAGGGATTTCTTTACTAAATTTCGAACCACATGTAGCACATTTAGCGGTTTTATGTCAGTGATTCTATAAAAACTTCGCTATCTGAAGTAATATACACAGAGACACATCCTGAATTCCACTGCAGCACATCTATATTTTATTTGTATTTCATTCAACTCATTGTAGTTTCTATCAGGAAGACATATTAAATTCTGAAAACATCACAACAAAATAACATGAAAATTGCAGAATCGGTTTGATTTGGTCTGTTCATGAGTGATAATAAAGAAGTGCAACATTCCTCACCCCCCCCCCCCATAATACCGGCTTGAGCGGTACTCAATTCTCAACAGTTAATAGTGCTGGCATCAATGATCATGACTGACCAGAACAATATAACAACACTGAAATTAAGTATAAAGTTTATTTTTTAAACAAATTTTTCGGCCTATGTTATATTTATATTTTATTCTGTGTAAATTTGGCTATACATTTTGTAACTAGAAAAGTAGAGTAATCTATTTTGAATTTTCATGGATTTCTGCCAACTATCATGTTGATAAATCAATTTAGTATTTTTATTGTTCTAATTACATAAGCGACTGAATTTCTTTCAATATTTAAAGGGATAATCAGGCAAATAAATGACAAAATATCAAATTTATTATATTTACTCAAGTCACGCTAAAATGAAGTTTTTAAAAGCCATAGCATGTCTTTTTATTCTGTTTAATACTATATAGTGTGAGTGTGAAACATAAATAAATCTACATATGTTGAACGAAATGAAGACGCAGACATTTTAAAACAAGTTACTTGACAATAACAAATCCTGGAAGTTAAGAAAAACAAAACAACATATATTGTGGATATTGTAAAATTGAATCAAGTCTTAGTCTCTAATTTGACAGGTTCTTTAACGTTTCCATAGATAACTGTGATAACTTTCGTGAAAACCTTACCCACGTTGGTCAGGAAACCAACATTTTTTTCTTTATATAGATAGTGTATTCATTTCTACGACATGTATAGAATATTGGATGAAAAATTCAAATCGAAGATACGAAAATTTTGCCCGTGTCTCCCTAAAAGTACTGTCACGTCTTTGATGGAATTAAAATTTCTTATCTTTTCTTAAAGGCCAAAGTATTTGACATTTACAGATCCCAATATTATCTATATATGGTACACTAAATTCGTCAACACTTGAACACCGGTCATTCTTACAAGATTTAACAATAAGATCTAGTTTAATCGCTATAAAAATTTCAAATATGTTGATAATATTGTGCTTTTTAATGTTAGTTACTTGTACAAATTGTATAGATATTGCTTGTTCACCGGATACTTGTAGAAAGTTGAAGGTGAAATGCGCAGACATTGACGCCACGACTTGCGAAGGAGTGTTGACGTCAGGTGGAGGATTTTGTGGATGCTGTAAGCAGTGCGTTCCGTTGTTAAGTATGAACTGATTGGAATTTTAAATATTTAATTAATTCAAAGCTAATACAGGCGTTTAAATGGAAAACTTTGCAACACAGAAATTATTATGAACAAATATGATTTCGTTGTTTAACGACCACTTAATATAACATACTATTCTACGTAGACATTATTGACATCATATATCCACATATACAAACAAATGTTTCCAAATGTTTCTTATTTCACATCTAAAAATAAACTGCTTAGATCAACATGATATTAAGTTATCCTTGGATCGCTGGAACAATCCTTTGGCGAGGCGTAATTTGCCCATGACAATTGTCCGACATTACGTCTGATGCTCATTTGTCTGTTATCCAGTTATCGCTAATTTAAAAATTAATATTGGATCAGAAGACCGTCAGTTACAACAAACTTAATAATTTTAAGTGAGTTATCCACGAAAACCGGTTCGGTCAATCAACCGGCGAGATATGACTAGCAAATGTGTTAAAATTGACGTAAAATCAAGAAGAAAAATAAAACAAGAGGGCCATGATGGCCCTGAGGTCGCTCACCTGTATATAGGCCCCTGGAGCGGGGCAAGTTAAAACCCCAGGGCTTTTATTTGAACAAACTTGGAAGACACCGATTAGAAGATGTTTCATGATGTTAAGTTTTTACTACACACATATAATGAAAAACAATGACCTTCCCACCCCCAACCCCTGGCAGGGCCAATTTTAATCCATAGGCTTTTATTTGAACAAACTTGGTAGACACCCATAAGATGTTTCATGCTGAACATCTAAGCTCTAGCTCATTGGTTTTTTTTAAAAGAACATTTTTTTAAAGTTTTTACTATACACATATAGTTAAATACAATGACACCCTTGGGCGGGACCAATTTTGACCCCAGGGCTTTTATTTGAACAATCTTGGTAGACACTCATTAGAAGATGTTTCATGCTTAATATCTTAGCTCTAGCTCCGTGGGTTCTTTAAAAGAAGATTTCTTTAAGTTTTACTATATGCATATAGGGAAAATCAATGACCCCCTGGGGCGGGGGCTAATTTTTGACCCCAGGGCTTTTATTTGAACAAAACTTGGTAGACACTCATTAGAAGATGTTTCATGCTAAAATATCTTAGCTCTAGCTCTTTGGGTACTTTAAAAGAAATTTTTTAAGTTTTTACTATATGCATATAGGGAAAAAATCATGACCCCCTGGGGCCGGGCAAATTTTGACCCCAGGGCTTTTATTTGAACAAACTTGGTAGACACCCATTAGAAGATGTTTCATGCCAAATATCTTAGCTCTAGCTCTTTGGGTATTTAAAAGAAATTTTTTAATTTTTTACTATATGCATTATAGGGAAAATCAAATGGACCCCCTGGGCGAACCAATTTTGACCCCAGGGCTTTTATTTGAACAAACCTTGGTCGACATTTCAATTAGAACATGTTTCATCGCCAAAACAAACTCAAGCTCATTACTCTTTAGGTTTTTTAGAAGAAGATTTTTATAAGTTTTTACTAATATGCATATAAGGGAAAATCAATGACCCCCTGGGGCGGGGCCATTTTACCCCAGGGGCTTTTATTTGAACAATTCTTGGTAGACACTTATTAGAAGATGTTTCATGCCAAAAATATCTTAGCTCTTGCTCTTTGGGTTCTTTTAAAGAATTTTTTTAAGTTTTTACTATATGCAACATATAGGGAAATTCAGTGGACCCCTGGGGCGGGCTAAAAATTTTGACCCCAGGGCTTTTATTTGAACAAACTTAGTAGACACCCATTTAGAAGATGTTTCATGCTAAAATATCTAAGCTCTAGCTGTTGGGTTCTTTTAAAAAGAAAAAAATTTTAAGTTTTTACTTTATGCATATAGGGAAAATCAGTGACCCCCTGGGGCGCGGGCCAATTTTGACCCCAGTGGCTTTTATTTGAACAAACATGGTAGACACTGATTAGAAGGATGTTTCATGCCTAAATATCTTAGCTCTAGCTTTTTGGTTCTTTAAAAAAGAATTTTTTTTTTTTAGTTTTACTATATGCATATAGGGGAAAATCAATGACCCCCCAGGGGCGGGGCCAATTTTGACCCCAGGGCTTTATTTGAACAAACTTGGTAGACATCCATTAGAACATGTTTCATGCCAAATATCTAAGCCTCTAGCTCTTTTGGGTTTTTTAGAAGAAAAATGTTTAAGTTTTACTATATTGCATATAGGGAAAATCAATGACCCCCTGGGGCGGGGTTCCAATTTTTGACCCCAGGGCTTTTATTTGAACAATCTTGGTAGACACTCATTAGAACGATGATTCCGATGCTTAATATCTTAGCTCTAGCTCTATTGGGTACTTTAAAAGAAGCATTTTTTTAAGTTTTACATAATATGCATATAGGGAAAATCACATGACCCCCTGGGGCGGGCAATTTTGACCCCGGGATTTTATTTGAACAATCTTGGTCAGACACTCACTGAAGATGTTTTCATGCCAAATATCTAAGCTCTAGCTTCTCTTGGTTTTCGAGAAGGAAGATGTTTAAAGTTTTTTTCTTTTGGTTCTGCCATGGCAACCAGAGTTCTGCCATGGGAATGGAATTCTTTGAACAACTTTGTTAAGGCTTCACACCAAGGAACATCCCTGTGAAGTTTCATTATTGATCTGCCATATTGGTTTTCAGGGAGATTCGTTTTGAAAAGTGTGAACGGATAACTACGACGGAGGACGGACGACGTACGGACGACGACGCGGACGAGAGTGATCCAATAGCTCACCCTGAGCATATGCTCAGGTGAGCTAAAAACACACACAAAAACACAAACACACAAAGACACATTCACACTAAAAATACAAAAATACACGCACACGCACACACACGCACACACGCACACACACACTAAAAATAAAACAACAATCACATACAAAACAAAGCGAACAAACCAGAACCATGTACATGTACCATGATGAAAATATAAGATCTGAGCTGGTTAAGCATGCAGGAACACTGGTTCGACAGTAATCGTTTGGGGGAAACAAAGAAACATAAATAATATCAGCTCATTTCATCGGTCATTAAAGGAAGGATTTTTGATTTTTAAATAAATGAAGGCACGAATTGTTTTATATCATTTTTTGTCATGAATGAATAAATAAATGAATTCAATCTGTGTGAACATTGCAGAAGAGGATGAAAAATGCATTTCTAATCCGTTTGTTACGTCATCATCCGGGATATGCGATGAAGGTCTCATCTGCCAGTCACAGGTTTGTCGTAAAACGCTTTATGGAAGAGACTTGAGTAAGTTTTACAATATAAAGTTATTATTACTAAGACATATCGTAACTTAAACAGTCGTATAGATACGCCATTTGTTTACTTCTAAATTATAATTGATTTAAGAAATTACATATAATTGCTCCAGAGTTAGAGAGATGCTTCTTTTACCTGGTGGTTATCGATATGACGTTTATTTTGCTATCATATCGACACGTAAATATACAATTATGACCAATTCAACATAACTTGATGACTTTACATGTAAGAATATTATTTGTCTTATTAATATAATGAAACTGACAAATGTGTTGCAAAATTCAACAAAACAATCAATCTACCTTAGTTTTTAATTGGTTTTGCTGTGTAAACAATGCATTTTTAATGAGGTAAAAAGGACTAGTTGAAAGGAATGTTTTGAAAACATTTTGTAGCGGGCTCCGTGTGCAGCCAACTTCTGAAAATAACATGCTCGACTAATAACCGACAGAATATGTTACTCGGGCTGAGAGACCGCGTTGTGAGGATGACGGCACATACAAGCCATACCAGTTTGGTGGATCTCAGTAAGTCATGTTCACATACACGTTCATAAAGTTTTATATATACAAACTATTCTCTTGATAAACGGGCACAATAACAAAGCAAAACAAAAAAAACAACAACCACCAATTAAACAAAATTTATGTTACACTTTGCATTTTTCCTTCAAATTTTGGATAAAAAAATCGCAACACAAGCATAATGATGGTTATTATATTGTTATTTTGACATAACTTAAGTTACATATGGTACATGTAGTTGAAAGAATATGGAAGCTGTTGTCCTTATAAACGGCATGTTTCATGTCTACACGGACATAGTCTCTATTTACACTATACAGAGGTGCCTTAAAACATGTTTTAAAGAACATAATAGTTTATCGTCTTCATTTTTATAAAATGTGAAGGGTAATCGCTCCTCCCACTAAACATCTATAAGAACAAATATTAAAATGGTTACATGTACGTGGGCCTGTCTACCATACTTGTGTGTTTGTGTGTTCATGTATTTGTTATCAATCTAAGTGTATGTTTAATTTCAAACAGAGCAATCTGTGTGACTGCTGATGGTACAAGACTCTATGACTACATGGTGTATAGATGGGAGGCCGGAGATACCATGGACTGTCGTAAGTATGATTCAGTCCAGGCAAAAACAAACAACACCCCATGGTTAATGAATTTCATTCTGTCTAACTTCTAAGTTAAAAAAGTTAGAAAAGACGGAAACCAAATACACAGACAGTTAAAGAAGTTTTTACTAGTCTATGTGGAACAGTGTCGAGTTAAAATCAAAGACACCATGGAAATAAACAACAAATGGTGGTAAGACCTTCCAATCAATCATCCAAACCCGTTATTCGAGTCCATATTCCTTTTGATTTTCAACTTTTTTCAAATCTTCAATAATTTGTCAAAGGGGATTGATTTCTTAATTCATATTTATAAAAAAGCGAATAGTCTTGGGTAAGAGTTTTGAAGAGACTGTATCCACAACTATTATATCCAACATGAGACTCTATCTACAAATATATTATCCATCACGTACGTTGGGAACCATGAGCCTCTATCTACAACCATATTATCCAACACGTAAGTCGGGAAACATGATACTCTATCCACGACTATTATATCCAACAAGTAAGTAGGGAACCATGAGCCTCTATCCACATCTATATTATCCAACACGTAAGTCGGGAAACATGATACTCTATCCACGACTATTATATCCAACAAGTAAGTAGGGAACCATGAGACTCTATCCACAACTATATTATCCAACACGTAAGTAGGGAAACATGATACTCTATCCACGACTATTATATCCAACAAGTAAGTAGGGAACCATGAGCCTCTATCAACAACTATATTATCCAACACGTAAGTAGGGAACCATGAGACTCTATCCACAACTACATTATCCAACACGTAAGTCGGGAACCATGATACTCTATCCACAACTATTATATCCAACACGTACGTAGGGAACCATGATCCTCTATCTACAACTATATTATCCAACATGTAAGTAGGGAACCATGATACTCTATCCACAACTATTATATCCAACACGTAAGTAGGGAAACCTGAGACTCTATCCACAACTATATTATCCAACATGTAAGTAGGGAACCATGATCTTCTATCCACAACTATTATATCCAACACGTAAGTAGGGAACCATGAGACTCTGTCTATAACTATATTATCCAAAACGTAAGAAGGGAACCATGATATTGTATCTACAACTATATTATCCAACACGTCAGCACAGTAACATGATACTCTATCCACAACTATTACATATATCCAACACGTAAGTAGGGAACCATGACACTCTATCCACAACTTTATTATCCAAAACGAAAGTAGGAAACCATCAGACTCTGTCTATAACTATATTATCCAAAACGTAAGAAGGGAACCATGATATTGTATCTACAACTATATTATCCAACACGTCTGTAGGGAACCATGAGACTCTTTCCAAAACTAATATTATCCAACCACGTTAAGTTAGGAACCGATGATACTCTATCCCACAACTTATATGTATCCAACAACTCAAGTAAGGGAACCATTGAGACTCTTATCTATAACGTCATATTATCCAAACGTAAGAAGGAAACCATGATACTGTATCTACAACTGTATTATCCAACACGTAAGTAGGGAACCATGAGACTCTATCTATAACTATATTATCAAAACGTTTACAAGGGAACCATTATTACTGTATCTACAACTTTATTATCCAAACACGTAAGTAGGGAACATGAGACCATTCTATCTATAACTACTATTATCCAAAACACGTCAGTAGAACCATGAGACTCTTATCTATAACTATATTATTCCAAAACGACGTTAGAACAGGGAACCATGTACCTGTATCTACAACTTTATTATCCAACACGTTAAGTAGGAACCATGAGGACTCTATCTATAACCTATATATATACCAAAACGTAAGAAGGGAACCATGATATTGTATCTACAACTTTATTATCCAACACGTAAGTAGAGAACCATGAGACTCTATCCACAACTTTTATATCCAAAACGTAAGTAGGGAACCATGATATTGTATCTTCAACTATATTATCCAACACGTAAGTGTAGAACAATGAGACTCTATCTATAACTATATCATCCAAAATGTAAGTAGGGAACCACGATATTGTATCTTCAACTTTATTATCCAACACGTAAGTAGGGAACCATGAGACTCTATCTACAACTATATTATACAACATGTAAGTAGGGAACCATGAGCCTCTATCTACATTTATATTATACAACACGTAAGTAGGGAACCATGAGCCTCTATCTACATTTATATTATACATATCGTAAGTAGGGAACTATGAGCCTCTTTCTACAACTATATTATAAAACACGTAAGTAGGGAGCCATGAGCCTCTATCTACAACTATGTTATCCAACACGTAAGTAGGGAACCATGAGACTCTATCTACAACTATATTCTACAACACGTAAGGAGGTAACCATGAGCCTCTATCTACAACTATATTTATACAACACGTAAGGAGGTAACCATGAGCCTCTATCTACAACTATATTATACAACACGTAAGGAGGTAACCATGAGCCTCTATCTACAACTATATTATATAACACGTAAGTCGGGAACCATGATCCTCTATCTACAACTATATTATCCAACACGTAAGTAGGGAACCATAAGACTCTATCTATAACTATATTATCCAACACGTGAGTAGGGAACCATGAGCCTCTATCTACAACTATATCATACAACACGTAAGTCGGGAACCATGAGCCTCTATCTACAACTATATTATCAAACACGAAAGTCGGGAACCATGATCCTCTATCTACAACTATATTATCAAACACGTAAGTAGGGAACAATGAGACTCTATCTACAACTATATTATACAACACGTAAGTCGGGAACCATGATCCTCTATCTACAACTATATTATCAAACACGTAAGTAGGGAACAATGAGACTCTATCTACAACTATATTATACAACACGTAAGTAGGGAACCATGAGCCTCTATCTACAACTATATCATACCACACCTAAGTAGGGAGCCATGAGCCTCTATCTACAACTATATTATCAAACACGAAAGTAGGGAACCATGAGCCTCTATCTGCAACTATATTATACAACACGTAACTAGGGAACCATGAGCCTCTATATCCAACTAAATTATCCAACACATAACTAGGGAACCATTATATACTATTTACAACTTTATTATCCAACACATAACTAGGGAACCATGATATTCTATATACAACTATATTATCCAACACGTAAGTAGGGAACCATGAGACTCTATCTACAACAAAATTATCCAGCACATAACTAGGGAACCATTATATCTTATTTACAACTTTATTATCCAACACATAACTAGGGAACATTGATATTCTATATACAACTATATTGTCCAACACGTAAGGAGGGAACCATGAGATTCTATCTATAACTATATTATTCAACAAGTAAGTAGGGTACCATGAGCCTCTGATTATAACTATATTATGGAACCGTACTTTGCTTATAATTATGAATCGACATTTAAAGATTTCATTAAATAATATATCTCGCTCAAACGGGTTCTAATAACATCAGCAAACGATCACATTGAAGATTCTATTATTACCGCCTTGTGAACACATCTTCGGATGAAGTACTGGCGTCATGAGTAGGTTTAATCAGTTCGAACCTGTAATAAATAGAAGATATTTAATGAGTGTAAGTTTATTACTAAATTTATTGAACGAGTTCAATGCATTTAGTATTGAATCTACACGAATATGATATTCTATTTATTACATAAAAAAGATAAGAATGGAATACTGTTAAAAAGAGTCTTTTTTTCTTGGACGCGCCTACAGTGTAACGCTAACAGTATCACGCTTTAACGCTATGATTATATAAGCGCAAATGACGTTTAGTCAAAATGTTATTACACCAGTGTAATATCGTTTTTATTGAATGGATTTATTACACTTCTGCGCTGCGGTTTATGTGATAAATTATGTTTTGATGTAATTGATGGCTTTTAAGGGTTCATTTCGGGCTATAATCATATATAATTTGCCAGAATGAGTAACTGCGTACTACTTTGTAAAATAGTTTCTTGCATGGCAGACTGGCGTTTCCGTGAGTTTTACCCATGCCGGAAATTTCATATGGCATGGGGGTGCCAGATGAGTTGCGTATGACGTCATTTCCTTGTTGTTATTAAATTTGTTACTTCATATGCCATTGTAAGAAAATAGTTATGGATGAAATGACATCAATTTCGATGATGAGCTAAACCATTTTACATGAAATACTAGTATAACGGCAGAATATGCATGCAAGAAAAAATATATCTGACACGTGTTTGCGGTTCGGATTGGAATATCCGTCTCTCGTGAACCCGCCCGTTGGGCGGTAACGAGGCTTGCCATCCTCGGAACGGATATTCCGATCTGAACCGCAACATATGACAGATATTATTAATCTGGTTTCAGAATGTGCGAGGGATCAATATGCATACCAGCAGAACGGCATGATTGGTAAAATGTTCTACTGTGACAAGAACGGTAACTATGCATCAGTGGGATGTTCGGGATCTGTGTGCTACTGCCAGGACAAAATGGGCAAACAAGTTGGTTCCTCGACTGTTAATATATCGGAGAAAGATTCTATGAACTGCTAGGATGAAGCTCATATATATGTGGTAATTGTTTTAAATATCTTAATTTAGGACGATGCTTCTTCAAGATAGTTATCCCAACATTTTATTCGTCATTTAATCTGATTGAACGGTAGTTGAAGATAGTATTGCCGGGATTTCGTGAGTGATTGTTAGAAATACGTCTAGCATGTCATACCTGTCAATCACCTTATGTTATGTTGTCTTTTGAAAAGAATAGTTTAAAATTACATGTTTTTTTATATTCTTCTATTACAGGAAAAATGGATTATCTGTAAAATCGAGTTCAGTGTTCATGTTTGAATTTGAAATAAACTTTAAAATTATTATTCTCATTATAATTCCCCTCATCTATACAGTATAAGGGTTGATTTAAAACTTGTTCATTAAACGTATAATAATACTCTTGAACTGAATTCTGAAGTACAAATGTCAATATCTTTGGTCATACTTTTGACCGTAGTTGTAATATATTCCATTAAAAAATGGAATTCGGTGTTGTTTAAAGTATCATCATATTTATAACATACAAAACATGTAAAACGACAGGGAATAACGATTTGTGTTCGCAGATAATGAGATAAAGACACTTTCTCATGTCGGGCAACAAGGAAATGTTGTGTGCTTCATTTATAAAGGATATTTGTAACTGCTAAAATTTGAATAATTTAGAATAAGAAATATTTATACAAAGGAGAATAAATATACAATAAAGAGTTTTTTCCTATACAGTATGGGTTTAACTAGCATGCCTTCTAAATTAAAAAAAATATCGACCTATTACATTTATTTAAACAAATTCAGTAATGAAAATTTAAAAATAACATAAAAATAATGTCGTTTAAAAAAATATTAAGCTTTTCTTGCAATGTGAATCATGGCGAAATTTTAATGATAATGATAAATGTGTGTACAAAACTAAAAAATACAACAAATAAACAAAAAACAAAACATGTTAAATTTATAATATAAATATTTTTACGAGGCCGGCCGTTGCTAAGCAAAATGGACGATATCATTTTCTTACATATCAGACTGGTGTTTCCGTAAATTTTACCCATTTCGGAAATTTCATCTGACATCGGGGTGCAAGATGAGTCGAGTGCTATACAATGGTATGCTACGGATGAGATAATTTCGCCGTTATGAATGAAGTTGTAATTTTAAACACTATTATAAGGAAAAAGTTACGGATGTAATGACATGGAAAATTGTTTTATTAAGGTAAAGAAATTAAAATATGATAGAATGTGGTAGAGCCTCGTTACCACCCATTTGGTGGATCCCCTCGGGACAGATATTCTAATCTGAACCGCAACATATGATAGATATTATTATTCACGTTCCTTCGCAATCTGTTTTACATAGAAATGTAGTAGAATACCACAGACAGTTCTACGTAAGTAAAAGGTACAACTTATTAAATGGTATTTAAAACATATATTTATAAGAAAATGTATATTAAATGTGCCTTTAAAGTGCTCAAAAAATGTACTGAATGGATAAGATGTTTTTTTTGTAATTCCATGCAACCCGGCGGACCTGTCAATCATTGAGATAATTGATGTCTAAAAGTCCTTTTCTTTAACAGGAAAAGAGATTTCTTTTATTCATATTTCATTATAATAATTAAAATGCGTCCTAAATTTTAATTGCATATGTTATCTATGTTTACGTTTAAAGGTCACCAAAATATCAAAAGGAGACACTTATCTTGTCTCGAAGTTGATCGTCTTTCTGGAAAGGTAAAAACAAGTGGTAATGTACAAACCGCTTATATAGTATCAAATAGAGTAAAATTTGAAAATTTATCGCAATTCAAAAGGCGTAATTGTGTGAAACAACAAGTATGGTATCGCTAAAAAGGCAAAAACATGCTTTTCTTTAGTTTCCCTGATTCTTCCCCTAAATTGTTTTTAATGTGAACCCAAACCCCGTCTCAAAGAACAGGGTTGGGCCAGGGTTTTCGATACGGTATACTCGGTTATACATGGATTTACTGGCATGAGTATTTAGTTCCAACCGTGCCTGTGGATAAGTTGGCACGAGTTAGACTCAACAACAGATGACGGGACAAGGGGATTAGAAATCATGACAAGACTGATAGACAGTGGTGGGTCCAGGGCCCATCAGACTCTACAGGGTCAGCCTGTTGGAGTGGTCGGCGGGCCTGGATGGTCCTTCTTGTATTCCTTCTGTGTTTTGAATCTTCTCCTTTGGTTGCATTATTGTGTAATGAAGCAACTACTCTGGGTAGATTTAGCAGTTGAGGGTGGCAGCAGGTAGTTGTGGTTTTCGTTGTACAGTTATTATGTAATAGTATGTTATTCATGTGTGATAAATATTTATCTCTTATATCCAGCTGTTCCAATTTCAATAACTGATTAATTAACTAACCAAACATTAGATCTACATACTAGCGGTCTGATATCGGTCCGATATTAAGAGCAATATTGGGCAAATATCAGCATTTAATGTACGCCCGACGGCGGTTGTGCAACTCGGCTCAACATCGGGCCGATGTCAGCTGTAAATCACCTAGCTGACTTACAGCGATGTCACTCCTACATTCGCATATAAACCTTTTTCTCTTCATAGAAGCATATTGCTTTGCTGTCCTTTGCATGAGGGCTTTAACATGTGACAGAAAATACATTTATTTTGCAATATCTTTTATTTTATCTACAAAATTAAACTTCTATATACATAATATATTTACATATACATACTTTAATGTTGAACAGACGTGTATGTTTTAATTTACGATTATTCTTTCTTGCTTATACGTACAGGTTAAAACATAATGTTCCCATGTTTCCAATGAAGGTAATGAAAAAAAAAACAAAAAAAAAACAAACCAAGAACAAAATAAAAAAAAACCCTCTAATGTCATGTGACAGACAACTACAGCCTGGCTTCAATGATAGGCTTCTATTTTTCTTGAAATAAGATGAACTCAATGGCACAAAGTTCACGGTAAAAATACAACCACATTCAATCAGTTCAATAATGTTATAATTGATAAAGGCCGAGATGATCCGTTTGTGACACCGCATCGCAAATGTTGCTGTGGCATAAAATAAAAAGTGTTTTGAGAACGATTTTTCCGGCCAAAGACCTGTCTAAATCAATTTGACTTCCTGTAAAATTAACAGGGGAGAACTGAATATAAAAAGAATTTTCATTGGTCATTTTAAAATTACAAAAGAATGGATATATTTCATATCTGGGAATCTCATCGACCACTCTAAAATAAAATGTAAATGGTAGTTCTTGTTATCCTCAGATAGTTTTAAAGTGAAATGTAAAGGATATAGTTATTGCCATTTTAAAATGAAATTTAAAACAATGTTCTTAAATAAAATGTACAAGATAGTTCTTTAACTCTGCTCAGATATTTAAGTTTTGTTTAAGAATACCTCCTCTCACAAAACATTTTACATTGCATTCATTTCTCATTACATTTTCTAGTGAACAGTTTATTTTACGTAAGAACAATGAGTTTTTTTACACAAGACCTGAGTTTTAAACTTTGTCCAAATAACAAGAATATAAGGGAGCCTAAGTTGATGATGTTCAATAAGTGTCTAATATACTATATGATTATTGATATGATCAATTTATATAATGTTTATAGACCTAATTTTCATATATTTTTTGCACATTAATCAAGTATTTATAAAATAATTGCCGACCTATGGTGGCATATTTCTGCCACCATATAACCTGATACCTAACTAGTTAATTAAGAGGTTAACTAGTTACGTAACTAGTTAACCTGATACCTAACTAGTTAATTAAGAGGTTAACTAGTTACGTAACTAGTTAACCTGGGGTTAGTATCTCGAAGCTATCGTTAGCATAACGACTATCGTATACCTCTCGTTAAGGTTTTCACCGCTATCTCGACGCTCTCGTAATTAACGAATAATCGTTAACATGCCCAATTATTAACGGGTGTCTAGAGGGTGTCTTAAGGCTCTCGTTACTATCATTTTGACACAAAAGTAAGAAAGGTGCGATTTTAAAGTACATAAAAAATGAGAATTATATCATTTTATTGATAAAAAATGATGAACCGACATAAATATAGTATTGTATTTCTTTTTCTCATGAATTTTCACAGGCCCGTAATAGATTTTATTGTGTAAATTAAACAATTAATTTAATTGTATTAAATTTTAATACAATTCCATAAAAAAATATCATTGATTATTTAAAAGAGATAAACTTGTATTCTTGGATCTAATTGGCTCATTTTTATTGTCATTTACAAAGTTTTACATAACATTTTAAGCCTATTATAGCATTCGGCACGATATGGCCAGTTATGTGTTGACGACCCGTAAAAATCCAAACAAACAAAATTTTTCTTTACAGTTTAATTTAAGACTTATATTTGAATGCAGATGAAAAAAAAAAACATATCATAACTTAAACAGCGAAAGGAATAATCCCCGTAATGTGTAATTTTGCACAAGAAAATATAAATACATGTAAATATATGCATACATCATGCTGAAAATTCAACAAGATTCAAACTTGTTACAGAATTATATTTCGAAAAGTAAACTGTGACGTATTAATTACATCATGAAGAAAAGTGCATTACGTCAGCTGCAAAACTCGGTACCACAAAAATGGATGTAATATATAGAAATGGTGTTTGTTTATCATTTCATAGTAACAAATATTTCACTCGCGAACACCAGTTGTTATAATTTAACTCGTTATATTTTAATTTATAATACAGCAAACATCCTTTGTTTAAAACAAAATGAAAATTTATCCATATATATTAACAGCAGCCATGTATATATTTAGTAATACAGATTTTTGACAGGTTATATGGCCGTATATAAACGATAACCCGAGCCGCCAAGTGAGAGTTATATTGCAAACAAAATTATATCGGCCATATATCCTGTTAAAAATCTTTATAACGAATTTACAATACTGCAGAAAAAAGAGAGATTTCTTGATAAATTGACAGCAGCTGTGTATATAAACTATATAAACGCCAATTAAAATTGACGTACCAAACTTGCAGTAACAAACGTATTTTATAATACTGCACGTTTGTCACGTCACTTTTCATTGGAGAATCGTGACATTTTTATAGTTTTATATACACTATTTCTGGCAAATTTCTAAGAAATCTCACTCTTTTTCTCAAAAAAGGGAAGTTCGCGGTTTTATAAATTCGTTATAAATATTCCTGACATGTTAAATGGTTGTAGGCAATATGACCATCGCCTAGCGGCTCGGGTTATATTTCCAAACAGTCTTTTATATAGGGCAATATTACCTGTCAAAAATCTTTATAA